GGACAGAGGCAGAAAAAGATAGAATATGTGCAGTTTTAAACTAAAGTGCTCCAAGAGCAATCTTTTCCTTAGAAAACAATATGTTAGATTTAGAAGTTTAACACTAAAATATTTATAAGATTCTTACTATGCATTTATCTGCATCTAGAATACAAATAGCATTATCTTAAATGCACTCTCAGATAACACCAAGAGATTCAGAGTTTAATCAAATGATTTACTTCCTTCCTATCATAAGGCAAATTTAGCAATACTTACTAAAGCACAGGTGTGAGCTCCATTACAATACCATCAACCCTCTAAACCTGTTTGAACCTCAACATGGTTTCTTAAAATTAGCAGCTTGTCTTAATAACTAAAACCAAAACCCATTTTAGCTCAAATGTTCTACTTCCTCTCCCGATCAAACTACTAACAGCAATTATAAGAATCAGCAAAATTCACTCTCCTTAGTTCTATGTGAACTCTTGATAAAAATCGCTGCTACCAGGAACCTGACTACCAATTCAGAACTGGCCAAAAATGCAATGAGGCCTTTATCATCCAGCAACCACAGATAACCAAAGCTGTTAGGTATCCTCCCACCTTCTTAAAAGTCTCTCTATGGACCTGGGAAACAACAAGGGAAAACTTAAAGCTACAGAGTAAAAACAGATAAGAGTAGAGCAGGTGATCAGCACCAGCCACTGAACTACTACTTCAAGAAATGTCTCAACACTTCTGTCTTTTAAAAAAGATACATGGTTTTATAGCTCTCATAAAAAGCAACAGTTGACTGAGATTAAAAACAACAACAAAAGTGGTCATTTTCAATGTTCTGTCCATAGTCCAAATATCCCGTAATGCTAATTAATGAATAACAGAAAATACCCTTTCAATAAACAGTCATTACATCTTTGTGACTATAAAGTGTTTGTTCAAGCCCTGAACCCAGTGTTGATCTGGGAACAATACATTCAAATCAATTAAAATAATAAAATGAAACCTCACACCAAAGGCAGTCACCAGTATCTAGCACAGTTGGTTCATAGAAGTTTAGGTCTCAGAGTCCCACAAGACTGTTGGACTCAAGAGGGAAACCGCAAAGGGATTTAAAGTTCTGAATTCCTAACTGTCACCTCTGTCAAAGTTCCACCACTTTCCAAAAGCTCTCAAGTCTTGTATCACCTAAAAGGAGACAAATGATCAGACACAAATCTGATCAACTCAGGGCAACAAGTGCTACCATTTATAAATACAGTGCACTGGAAAGAGGGGAGAAGATCATATTTTTCCTATATGTCATTCATAAGATTTACAGATTTGTAAAAACAACAAAGAAAAAAAACTGAGGATCAAGGTCCTAGTTATACTTATTGTCATAGGTCAACTTTTTTTTTTTAAGTTATTTATTTTTTTTAGTTTTTAGGTGGATACAATATCTTTATGTGGTGTTGGGGATCGAACCCAGCACCCCACGCATGCCAGGCGAGCGTGCTACCGCTTGAGCCACATCCCCAGCCATAGGTCAACTTTTATTAAGGTCTACTGTGTTGGACTCAAAAAATACTAGTGTTATATAGCCAGGAAGCACTTTTTAAAATGTGTATTATAATGCCATTATAGAAGTTAAAGGGAATAAAAGGCATAAATGTCCCTACCTTCTAAGGACTTATAATCAAATACTTATGGAAACTAGAGTGTTCCATACTTGATAAATATCATAAGGTTTGAACTTGATTTTCACATTTTCCACCAGAATCTCAGCTTCTATAGAGACTTACAAAAGCTAACATTAATCTCGATGGTCATATGATATTCCTGTTATTTAAAAATTGATTATTTGTGATACAAAAATTGATTGTTTTAATTCTCCAGATCCAAACATAAGACATTAATAAGACTTGTTATTACTCATGCTGAAGATAGTAAGCAACTTATGAAATCTTCCTGGGAGAATGATGAAGACTTTCAGGGAGACCTTAACAATGTTTCTCCTTTTCATCTATTCAAATTATTACAACTGACCATAAAGCATTTTCAGGAGATTACTGTTCTGGCCAGCCTCTGATCCAGAGTGGAATTTTTACTATTAATCTTGAAACACACACACAAGCTAAAAGAATAAGCCACCTGTTGCTGACAGCCTTCAAAGGAATTCTCCCTGGAAGCACAAGGGGAAAGCCCTCCAAAGAATTGGAGCAGGCAGTTCCCAAGATGAAAGTGGAGTACCCTGAGTGGGCCCATTCCTTCCCTAGAAGTCTGGTCAAGTGGTGGAAAACACAAAGTCAGGGAAGGAGAGAAAAAGAACAAAGGCCCAAAATACAGCAAAGAGATTTCTCTCAATTTTGGATGGTCTTTAAGTAAACATACCTTGCTTACAAAATGGAATTTATACCTTACTGAAGATTCTATATCAACTGAAAGAAAACTAAATGGACAATACAGAGAAACTCATACTTTCTAGATACATTATTCTATGAGGCACCAAAAAATGACATACAATGGCAGACTACCTTGGTTCTACTAAAATTCAGGAATTCAGTATGCAAACTCATAAGAGAAATATACAGCAACCCACTTTCGCTGTGTTTGGTGTTATTATCAATTAAGAGCAACATACAGAGGTCATGAAAAAATAAAAGAATCAATTCACATGCTGTATGCTATGCTGCATAATGATTTTCACCACTCTGTTTAGTTGTGAAATAAGCAGGGAGATTCTGGGAAGATAGAAATCCCAAGCACTAAATGTTTCAGGAAAAGAACCACATTCATTATGGCTTTACAATAAAAGTTCCTTTAGAAAAGAAAAAAAAAAAAAAGGCGTAAGCTAAGGTTCCACAGAGCAACATGTTGCTCCACTAGGTCTTTCCACAAGCAAGCAGAGGCCTAAACTATAGGCAAAGGATTCTCAAATGTCAGGACAGCAGAGTGGCCAAGAGGCTACACTCCAAAAGCTGCCTGTTCAAATCCTAGCTTTTAGCTGTGTGACCCTGGGCAAGATAATCTCTTCTGTGCCTTCTTTTCCACACCTACTAGGTGGTGGTTGTACCAATCAAGTTTATTATGGAATACGCCCAAGCTAATGTCAGATAGGAAAAAGTGAAGCTCATAAAGTCTACCTACTTGGGGATTCAGTGGCCCGCCAACACTCAACCAACACTTCCTCCTACAGTGAAAATTCAACAGTAAAAACTTGAGAAAGACAACCTTAACTACAAAAACCACCTTCCAAACCCTCCCCCTCTTAACCACAAAGCACTACACACACACTATGCCCTTCTGTTCTAGCAGCCACTATCCCTTTCCACCAAATGCTTTAACTTTAAGCAGAACCTAAGCCCATTACTGAGCACTAGAGATAAATATTAAAATACTGGAATTAACTTTGCTTAAGATTTCCTAGTAAATGAATGAGTCAATCATTCTTTAGAAACAAAGTAAAACGTCAAAGTTGCCAGAGAACCCCAATGCAGATGTTTGCATAAATCATTTTCAAGTGATCACCAAGCCAAAAGTCAATGTACATTACTCAAGACAACACTTTAAGTAAATCAGTTTTTATGGTTTTCTTCCTGTAATGGAGAAAATTCTGAAAATAAGGGGAAAGTAGGAAAACAGTAAGTTTAACCCCAAAATTACACAACATATCAAACAAAGCTTAGAACTCCTTTTTCTCTCTGGCTTCAGAGGGTTTACTTTTTGTCACACTGTTTTCTTCAACCTTATCAACAAGCACTGGGTAAACTGTAAACTCGAAAGTTAAAATCAGCCCACAGTGTTTGTTAAATATTTTCTCTATCATTCAATCTAGGGGAAATGGAAGCTTGTAAAAATTCAAAACATCTGCCTACGGGATATTTAATGTGGCTCACTTGCAAAATATTTTGAGTGCTCTGAAAAGATGACAGAATCCATAAGAGAGTCTTTTCTCACCTTCACAATAATTCAAGTAAAGTTTGTATATTAATTTCAATGAAATCCAGGCCATTTGCCCTAGCATGTCAGAAGAAAGGGCAAGGATACTTTTGGTCATTTAAGCTGTCACACACACACACACAAAAAAAAAAAAAAAAAAAACTAAAACATCCACGCATTCGCGGCCTAGATTTCTCTGTGCCTAAGAAGTCAAATAGTTTCTAGATTAGCCTGACAGCATGAGTTCTTCAGATTCATTCATTACAGGTCACACAATATTTACTTGTACTGAAATTTCCTAAGTGTACAGGTCATTGGAAAAGAGCTACAAACTTAACTTTCAATGTCGTAGGGTACCCTTCCAAATAGAACCGGTTGCGTCGTTTTACTTATTTTTGGTAACTACATAAAAGATTTGAGTCGCGTCGTTTTTCTAACTCATTTGCCAATCTGCCACCGGGAGCAGGACTGAGCGCCCCACAGCTTCCGGCTGTAGTATAACACACGCTTCCTCACTCGGCTCCCCAGGTCTGCTCAAAACCAACCCTATGTAACAGCTGAAGAATGACGACACTAAACTCTACCCTGAGATCCACATGAAGAGGGCTACAAAATGAAATAAACTTTTGTCTCTTAAGCGACCATAAAGGAAAAATGTTAAATAAAAAAATAAAATAAAATAAAAGGCCAAGTGTGGTTTGTTTGATCAATTTCCACGACTGGTGCGCTCAGGGGTCTGTGCTGGCGCGGGCAGCTTAACCCTGGGTGATCCCAGGGGCTATCACAGCGATGCTGCTGCAGAAGGGGTGCCTCTCGGTACACCGGTTGCCCCAACCAGCAGGTACCCAGGCCGGGGTATGAGGGCCAGAACATGCCCACTTCCCTCGAGCGCTATACTGCCACCGCACGCCGCCAGACACTTTGTTAACTCAGCGTGCCCGGGAGGAGGAGGTTCCCGGGTCGTGGTCACCGCAGTCCGAGCTTCAGAACCCTGGCTGAAGGAGTCTCGGCCTCACCCTGCCCTGGCGCTGAGCAGCCAGTAACCACAGGCCCTCAGCTTACCCACTTAGAGCCAAGCGTCGTGGCTGCCTGGTGCTTACCTGCGGATAGGAGCCCTCGCGGCGCGGGCTGCTAGGGTAGTCTAAGTGACCCCTGTCCAGCATCAGGTAGAGCGAGAAGATGACCACACAAAAGATTGCGCTGCCGAACACGGTGAACTGGCGGCTTAACTTCATTTTCCTCATAGACTCAGGACCCGGACACCGTCCTCACTCGGAGAAGGTGGAGGACTGTGGACTCTAGAAAAGGCCGCCGGAGGCTCCCTGCTCCCAGGTTGCGCGCTCTAGGGTAACTGGTGTGGGTCCGGACAGCCCTCCGCACCTCGTCTCCGGCGCCACCAAGCGCCCTGGGCCTTCGCCCTGGCCCACTGCCCTCCCCGGGGCAGGCGTTCCCCTCGAGGCGGAACTCGCCTACAGTGGGGAAGGGGCTCCCACAAACTTAATCTCCAGCTCAGCGCCGACACCCGGCAGGGCGCGCCTAGCAGGCGGAGAGAGGTCGTTGTCCGGACTTCCTGCCACCACCGCCCCAACTGAGCCGGCAGGAAAAGTTTTCTCGACGAGGGCAGGCGTGTCCTCCTCACCCAGAAAACGCGCGGGTTCCGCGGCTCCGAGGCCGGCCGCGCACAGCCAGGTCCGAAGAGACCAGAGAAAAGGAACTAGATCGGGAGGAGCCGAGCCACACAACTTAGCTCCGGGACGACCGGACCCGCCCCCGCGGCACCGCCCCCGCCTTCCCCGACCGAGCCCCTTCCTACTGCTGCCTCTGCCGCCTCTGCCACCGCTGCCGGGGCCGGACCGGGGTGCACCCTGGATGCCGGGGCTTATGGATCGGACAGGAGTTTCCTCAGGGTGCGCGTCCGCTCACCGGCCTCTCCCGCCCCGCGCCCCTACCTCCCCGCTCCGGGACCCGGGCTGCACTGGGAGGGTGCAGGGGACGGGCGGCGGCGGCGCGGGGAGGAGGAAAAGGAGAGCAAGCAGGAGAGGACCGTCCCCGGAGAGAAGCCCGCGCCAGCTGTAGCCGTGAAACACCCCTTCCTTCCCGCCCCCAAACGCGGAGATGGCGGCGGCAGCAGCGTGAGGAAGCACCGGTTTTCCAGTGCCACTGGGCGCTCGAGCACCGCCAGCCACAAGCAGAAGACCGCGGCGGCGCGGCAGCGGCTGGGTCAATAGGCGCCCGCAGCCCCGGAGCAGAGCGGGCGGCTAGCCCCGCCCCCTCCCGACGCGCCGGGATGAGGGGGCGGGCCCCCCGGCGCCCAATCACGGCGCGCCGACCGCCGGGCCCGCCCAGGCAGTAGGAAGACCTCAGGAGGCTTCTATGACCTGGGAGGCGGATTTGCAGGAGTTAAGGGTAGCAATAAGCTGCATTCGGGTTTGCTCCAGCAGACCTTGTTCCACAGGGTATATATCCTTACTCCCAGTGCCCCTTTTGCTGCTCAGGTTTTCTATGCTGGAACACCCAGATTCAGCACGACTTAGAAGGGTATTCCGTGAAGGGTTGTAAGAAAAGAAGAAATCTCAAAATTCTGTTTGACTTATCTTTTCCTCCTTTGTTTTTGGTGTCATCCTGGTGAAACCTGGGAGAAAAGGGCATGCCAAAGGCCCTTCCAGACAGAAGTAGGCATCTGCCAACGAAATCTATAAGAACAATCTGAGAAGTGATGCTTGTGCGGATTATTGATTTTTTGCCTTTCGGCTTCAAATTCACCCTTTTTTACTGCACTGTGAAAATGGATCTGGGCCTTTTAAATAGGTTTTTCTTTGCCTTCTGGGACTGAAGCTTTGTCAGTAGAGGGCGCTGAAGAGATATTACAGGAAGAAAAGAACTCTGTGCTTCCTGATTTTGGTGTATTGGTAGGCAGGTTCTTGCTGCATACCTAGGTTTCCTCAGCTCTGAACTCCTGTATGGCTTGGTGGCCAGAACAGTTTTATAGTGTGAGACACTACTCCATAAATAGCTTCCCTGGCACCCGGGAGGAAATTTGCATCAAGTTCCAAAAGGCATATTTTCAACAAGTTTTGCAGACTTAGCACCATAGTGACTTCTCTACTATTCAATTAGCCAGCCTTTGACTCTCCAAATAAAGTCTAGATCTTAGTTGTAGGAGGGACAGGGGATCTTCCTTAGCCCCTCTATCACTCAGCCCAAGGATTAGTTATGAGGTTAGCTCCCTGGTAGCTACTATGTCTATATTTTCTAGGTTTCTTTTTTTATATGTATACATATTTTAGTTGTAGATGGACATAATGCCTTTATTTTATCTTTGTGTGGTGCTGAGGATGGAACCCAGTGCCTTCCACATGCAAGGCAAGCACTCTACAACTGAGCCACAATCCCAGCCCCTCTCTAAGGCTCTTTTTACTAGTGAATCCCTCATTAATCAAATCTCCTATTATAGTTAATAATTATTTTTATCAAGACTTTCCTGTCTAGGAAATAGGCCACATGAGATAGACCTGCAAAGATGAACTTGAGCTCCTTGCCAAAGAGAGGTGGAATCTAGTCATTCATGGCATGCAGAGCATCTCAATTAAGTAATCACCTATGGTTTATTCTGATGAAGTGCCAACTAAAGCAAGAAGCTTGGGGACCAAGTACCAGCTACATTTGACAGCTGGGGCTATAAAGGTGATTATCAGGACTATGGTACAGAAAGATTCTTTTGAGTGCTTCTGAATACTTATAAACAGAAATGACAAGCACAGATGCATTATTAACACTTGGAGTTATGGTGTAAGAACCAAAAAGATTTTATAGAAATTCTGAAATATGGGGCTGGGGATGTGGCTCAAGCGGTAACGTGCCCAACTGGCATGTGCCGGGCACTGGGTTCAATCCTCAGCACCACATAAAAATAAAATAAAGATGTTGTGTCCACTGAAAACTGAAAAATAAATATTAAAAAGTTCTCTCTCTTCTCTCTCTCTTTAAAAAAATTCTGAAATAATCTCTTACTTATTGTAACAATGAGAATAATATTGCTGAAAATAAAACACAAAATTTTAATTTTCAGATTACTGAGTTATAATTACTATTGAATTCACAAGCATGACAAGTTTCTCTATAAAAGTTAAGATATTAGTTGGTAAATAATAGGATCCAAAGATTGGAATGAGTTGGATGCAAATGAAACTGACAGTCTGATATCCATCCACCCAAGTCACTCAGCCTCTCCTACCAGTAGAAGTAGATTGCCCTCCAGTGTCTGAGGAGACTAGTATTCCTCTGCTTGAATACTAGGAATACTAGGAGACTAGTATTCCTCTCCTTATTTTGTGATAATTCTCACATGTATTTCTCTAAAATATTCATCTTTTCCATCAAAGCCATCAGAAACATCTTGCCTTGAGAGGGATTTCTCATTCTCCTCAAAACCCAACACAGGGCTGGGGATGTGGCTCAAGTGGTAACATGCTTGCCTGGCATGCACGGGGCGCTGGGTTTGATCCTCAGCACCACATACAAATAAAATAAAGATATTGTGTGCACCGAAAACTGAAAAATAAATATTAAAAAAAATTCTCTCTTCTCTTCTCTTCTCTCTCTCTCTCTCTCTCTCTCTCTCTCTCCCACAATCACCCTCTAAAGCCATAATACTCATAACTATGGTCAGTTCTCAACATGCTCCTGGGGAATAAATTCACACTCTTATGTGGGGAGAGATAATTTATACACCAGAATAACTATAATACTTTGCTAATATTTATTGGCAGAAACTTGGAGACCATATTAAGAATTGCATTCTAAGGGTGTCAGATCACAGAGGATGGAATATAATGCTAAATTGAACCAAATTTATTGTGTGAAGTTAGCTGATGCAGCTAGGGGTGGCTCTAACAACTTGATTGGTGAAAATGTGGACTCAGTGGTGACAGACAACTTATGAGACTGAGATGCCAGCACTTGATGACATGAAATAGAACAAGGAATCCAGTGGTTTAGGAAAATAAAGACATCTACTGGATTTATTATATGTAACTTGCACATCCATTCCCCAGATGTGTTCCATGCAAAGACCCAAAAGACATGCCCTTCACTGAAGCATTGAAACATATATTAGTGAGGAGAACACCTGCATCTTTGAAAATCTCTTTGGATGCTTCCCTCCATAGGTCAAGTATGACTATAGAAAGTACCTGTCGAGATTAGCTCCCTGGTTTCAAACGGGGATGACAGAATCCAAGGACATCAGAGGACTTGAAGCATTTAATTAACAAAGACAATTGGTCACATCTACCTTAAAAGATAGCAGGCAGTCAGACTTCATTGGCACACAGAGATGTACTGGGAACAAAATAGATAGGAAACATAGGGAATTGCTTAATATTTCTAACAGGTAAAGCACTAGGTCAGGTAGCCAAAATCTGACTTGAATTGCTGTAATGGACCGTCACAGCCTCTCATGCAGTTTTCAGACCTAAATCAATTCACAAACCCAGAATCCTTTGTTTGAGTCTGTATCCCCTTTAGGAAGGACCTTGCTCCGTTGCCACCATACACACAATGTAACATAACATGAGCCTTCCCCTAAAAGACATGTGGTTATTTACTAGAATGACTGTACATTGGTGAAAAGGATATATATACAGATCTTTTCAGGTTCATCAGATATGCTCTCGATCAGTGCTAATTCCTGGGCACACACACACAAAATAAAATCACTATGACCCTCCAACTGAAGTTGAAGTTTATCTTTCTCAGGTGATGGGTGAAGTTTTTGCTCATGCCCAACTCATAGTTGGTTCTGGTTAGTTCAGCTGGCCAGCACATCAACTGTGTAGTTACTTTTTCAAGTCTTGAATGTATAATTAGAATAGACATACATAGCTACAGACAGAATTCCCACATTGGTTTGCTTACCCATGGAATGAGAGTCTTTATAGTAGGAAGAGCTAAGTGAAAGCTCCTGAAGTTTTCACTCTCACTGGGAAGATTGTGGGGATTAATGCCAACACATAAGAAAGAAAGAAAGAAAGAAAGAAAGAAAGAAAGAAAGAAAGAAAGAAAGAAAGAAAGAAAGAAAGAAAGAAAGAAAGAAAGGAAGAAAGGAAGGAAGGAAGGAAGGAAGGAAGGAAGGAAGGAAGGAAAGAAAGAAGGAAAGCAGGAAAGAAAGAAAGAAAGAAGGAAAGAAAGAAAGAAGGAAAGAAAGAAAGAAAGAAAGAAGGAAAGAAAGAAAGAAAGAAGGAAAGAACAGGAGAAGTGATGCCTATCGTATTCCCATTCAACTCACCAGTTTGGCCAGTGAAGAATTGATTTAGGAGAATGATGTAGATTTTTATAAACTTAATCAGGAGGTGATTTCAATTACAGCAGCTGCCCCACATATAGTGTCTCTTTTGAAACAAATCAACACAGCACCTGGCATTATGTGTACAGCTATTGATTTGCTTAATACCAATTTCTCTATACCTATTTGTAAAAACCACCAGAAGAAGTTTTACCTGGCAGAGCCAAAAGTATGCCTTCATAGTGTTGTCTTAGGTGTATAGTATTCTCCTTAATATAATACACCGAGATATTGGTCATCTTGACATTCCATAAAATATCATTCTTGTTCACTACATTGACAGCATTATGCTGATTGGATCTAATGAGTAGAGAAAAGGCAAGTAGCTTACATGGCTTAGCAATATATATTTGAACTAGAGAGAAGAACATGATCAGAAAGGAGTATGTATGAGGTGACAATTCTAAAATACTCATCTGAGGCTTAGGATATGTT